TCATTGACAAAGTAATTTTGGTATTCTTGTCTGATAATTTTAGCATTATTCAATACATTTCCCTGATTTCGTCTTTTTAAATCTTCCATAGTTGACCTTGATGTATCATACCCTCCGTTGACTACAGTCCCATTATCGATATTTTCATGGTAAAAGCATCTTGTGGGTGCATATAAATATGGCACATTTTCCATTAAGAAGTTGTGCAAAGCTATTATAGCCATCACTACATTTTGTATCTTATCTGGTTCTATGTTAATTTTAGTATGGTAAATGCGAAATCGTGAAGACAATATGCCAAATGCGTTTTCTACAATACGTCTTGCGCGGGACAGCCTATAGTTGAAAATTTTCTTCTCGTAATTGTTCAAATCAGCTTGGCGATATGGCTTCAACATGTCGGCTCTCAGCGGAAACGCATCGTCAGTAACAAACACGTACGGTAAACATCTTGAGCTACTTTCGATGTTTTCAGGATTTGGGATATTTAACTTTTTATTTTGCAACTTCTTGAAAAATTTGGTGTTTTGCAATACTCCTCCATCGGAAACTCTCCCATTTGTTCCAAAATCTGCAAGTATAAACCGGTATCTTGCATCAACAATTGCCATGAGAACCATGCTGTGTCGTCCTTTGTAGTTGCAGTAATAAGAACCACTGTCAGCAGGTGGGATTATATCGATGTGTTTCCCATCTATTGCTCCCAAGCAATGTGGAAAATTCCACCTTTCTTCAAAGTGTTCCGCGATTTGTTTCCATTTAGCGGAAGTATCGGGAAACTAAAAAAAAAATTTAAAAAAATAGTAAAATAATATTTAATCTATCTACACAACAAATCTTATAAAGAGAGAAGATTTGTATTTTTGTTTGTAACGAGTAAACTCCAAAACTACTCGACCGATTTTGATGAAACTTGGCATGGAGATACCGTGACCGTATTTCCTACCATAATAATTAATAAAAGTAGTCACAAAAAGAACTGTACTCGTCCAGGATTTATAAAAGTTGAACGTATAAAATAATACACTGTGCCAAGTATAGGGTTAAGGGTAAGGTGGGAAAGGTGAAGAAATAGTGTAGGGATAGTTACGGGTAGTGTAGAGTAGGTGTACTATGTGTAAAATATAAAAAAACAGTAATCTTACCGGTATAAAATCCTTTTTGAGAACTTCGTAAATAGCAGCACAGGTTTCTGGTATAATTCGCCCTAAAGCTTGAGGTGATATTATAGTCGAAAATTTGAGGCACTCATACGATCTCCCTGTTGCTAGAAATCGTAAAGTCGCTGTTAACCTCTCGTGCGCCGAGATAGCGTTCCTCATAACAGTTTCTTGCTTCTCAATTAATGGAGTTTACGAACGTTAGGAGTTTCACGTAAGTTTCTTCATTCATTCGTAAATAATTACTATAATCTTTTGGCTTAATCCTCAATTCTTCTATTAAATTTGTATGAGCAAACTGTTTTCTTTTCTTTTACCACTGCTTCCACCACTCTGCTCGATTTTTTTCGTTTTTTTTGCTTCATTTTCACGAGTACAATGCCCAAAACGGCTATAGCATCGTCGTCTGTCATCAGTGACGCCATGACTGCAACTGAACGTCGCTGCCGATCAGTTAAAACTGATGGTGTATGGTGTATGTGGACGAACTGCAGATTGGATCAAGCCTGCAGTGTCATGCCGATTGGACGATAGGAAGGATCGTGTATGCCCACCATTACGCAACCGAACAATTTCCCCAATAATTTATTTTACTGGCACTTAAAGTCAATTAACCGATAGCCACCAACTAATTTACGTAAGTTATAGAGGACATACGATCTGACAGCTCACGTGATGGTAAGTAATCACCGTCGCCCATAGACATCTGCAACCTGTGTCTTCGTGGTGTTACATTGGACTAGATTAATCTGCCCTTAATTTGATATTTTGCTAAGCAGTCTTAACTTTCGACATAAGTTTGTTCAGGCTCTCCGTTACATATTCCCGTAAATTATTTGCGCTTCCAGTATATAAGGCATTACCTGTACTGTCGTCAGCATAGCAACAAATACCATAAATTTGAAGAAAATCATTGATATGCAGAAGAAACAGCGTAGGCACAGCCTTGTGGGACATCCGCGTTTTCGGATTTGGTGTCCTAGCATGCACCGTCAACTACGACTTTGATGTTCCTATCTGCAAGAGAGTTTGTGACACAAATGCACAGTTTTTCGGGAAGCTCATAAGAAGGAAGCTTCGAAAGAAGCGCTTTGTGCCAGGCCCGATGAAAGGCCTTTGCAATATCCAGACTAATGCTTCCTCCTTGTTCTCGACCGCCTTTGGCCAATGATGTGTCAAGTATACTAGAATATCACCAGCTGGACGAGTTCTACGGAAACCGTACTTGTGGTCACTGATCAGCCGGTAGTCCTCCAGGTACCGAAGGAGCTCGTAGTTGATAAGGGATTATTTATTATTCATGATTCTCCATTATCTTGGAGGACATTAAAGAGCTTGGAACGACGCCTGAAAACTAGGAGAGCTGGAAAACTTGCATTAGTACCGAAGCCAACTCAGGAGCACACGTATTTAGCATAACTGTGAGACTCTATCAGGCCCGCTCGACTTGTGAATATCAAGAGAGAAAAGTGCTTTGCGCAGTAAGCGTTGTGTGAACCGGATTAGTGTTGCACTAAGCGGTGTGTGAACCGGTCTAGTTTAAACTAATAACTTTTGTGAAAAGTAAAAAAACTATACACAAATTGACTTTGTTTAACTCATAGTAACAATTTAAGTGTGTCGGAAAGACCCATGTTAGTGGTCCTTCAAGCAATTTGTGCACGTGGACTGTGTGGCGCGTACTCGATGTGAAATAGGACAGAGCGTGAGTGATTCTACATGTACAGGAGCGATCGTTGGAAAACAGCTATTCAAAATTTCTAACCTTCTACTGCAGAAGCAAGAAAATATCTACCAAAATGACGAGTCGATGATCTACTGGAAAACCAAAAACAGATTACCGAAGCAATGCAGCAACATTTCCGCAAATAAAAATTGGCTGTTCGCAAAACTGCAACCTATATCCAAATACCTTTTGAACTTCTGGATTCACATTGGGCTGAATTTCAATCTAATCATGTATAGCTGAGTACTGAGCCAGGTTTCCCTTCTGGAGAACCCTCTCAGTGACCTGGGGAACGTGACTTAAGTGGTGATAAAATAATAGCAATAATTCGTTTAATTATATTTATTTGAACTCAGGAATATAAATTACAATTACTTATAATCAACCGATCGAGTTTGTGCCTGAATTCAATCTCTAGTTTAATCGATGTGAGACAGAAGGCTCTCACATTCGAATATTTAAATAATTCTATTTATTTATAATAATACTGCCATCCGTAGGCATTGCATACGCAAAGAGTTTACACGAGCAAGGAGGCGGTAACGCTACAGGCGTTACAATACATTAGAAGACCAGGACTATACTTATTTTTCGGAAAATAATTACAACAAACAGAAAACTTTTATAACGAGACGCGAAAAATTATTTAACAAGCTGAGACAACTGAACAGCAAAAAAGAGAAAAGTCACCAGCGAATCCAAAAATTTTGATATCAGATTCTGCGTGGTCTGAGGAACCAACTGCAACTTATCTACAACAACCTAATGAAGCCTGAATGGGAAGACAAATGATAATGGGACTGATGAATAAGTACTGCATAATAAACATATTCGAACATTCTAAAATTAATGAATAGAACTTAGGAATTACGAATGAATAAAAGATAATGCAATGTCTTATAATACCTCCATGCTTATTATATACATGAAAAAAAATGCTTATAAAAAACCAAGTCCCATTATCGAAATAGTTTTCTTTATTGCCTAAAAGTGCCGAACTATTGACTTCTTCGTCTGAATGCACAAATACAATCAAAATCTGGCAATAGACACATCTAACTAAAATCATAAAGCCGATTATAAATTTCAGTGAGCAGTGTGCACGGAATAGAGACACAAAAATAACACACGGCATGCGATGTACATTCTGACAGCTTCGATATTGGATCTTCACAAAATTGTGTGCCCTGTAAATAACAGGGTGCCTAAAGCGACTAAACGACTACGTTTACCGGAATTCCTTTGCCAATCGTATTCAGGCTAACGACTAATAGTAATTGAGCTATTAGTTAGACCAAGCCACTACTAACAACTTTGGCCAAAATTAAGATACAGACAGAGTTGTCGGTAAAAGGTGACAGGTAATAGTGTCGCGAGTTCAATGTTTGTTCCTTTTCCCATCTCAAACATGCCCAACGCGTCTGAAGAAGTGTTCACTTTGTACTTGTATTAATAATTTTATAATTGCATGGAAATTTAATGTTTTTTGTTGTGAGCATAATAATGCTGCTACTCGATATAAACTAATCTTATTTTCCCGTCCGCTGCCTGGTCCGCTTGGAATATTTTCTAGTAATATTTTCTTTAAATTTAAACGTCGAGCAGTTACATGCTTAAAAAATATAACCTTGTTTTATTTTTATATATTTTTTTGAAATTTTATATTTCATAAAAGATGCCATACTATTCTCATTAGAAAAAACTAGTGTCAAGGGAGATAATAGGTAATTCGATTGATCCTCAAAACTTCGGAAATGGCAGTTCGCTCCTCAGTAAAAACTATAACGAGTTTCTTCGTCCAAGGAAACGACGTTGGTGCTTAAGCGGTCTTTCCTGGCGTATATTATAAACAATGCATTGCAGTGTCATAGCCACGTTTTTTGTTGAAATAGTGGCTTAGATGTGTCTATTTATTATCCAATAATCAACCTCTGAGTCCGAAATCAAAGAACGTGGCTGCACACAATTGCGGACGTTTGTTTAGGTTTTACGTTATGCACAATTCCTTTAAAATTTCCATTTATTTAGTCGATAAAAACGTTTTATTCCTCAGTCTCGGACCAACAACAGTGACCACGTACTGATAACGCAGTAATCGATAGATAAAGAGTTTAAATCTTATCTTATCTCATGAATGAGTCTATTGAGTCACCGGGACTATAACCGTGTTGATGTCTAATAGTAGTGTTATAATAAAATAATCGCCGTCAAATAAAAATGAAAAAACATTATATTGTGAAAACTTTTTTCTGTTTATCGACTTTGTCTATTTTGTTTTTAATGTATTTGTCATTTCGAGATTATAAATATCATTTTATAAAAAGTGTTCGAAATTATACTGAGCTATTGAGAGTGTTCTCTGATGGAAAAATACAACCGATGAAGTATATACTCCAATGGACTTCGGCTTCTGACGTGCCTTTCGTTTATATGGGAAAAGGTCGGGATGGATTCACAAGCAGAAACTGTCCTTACACTAATTGTATTGTTACATCCGACAGGAATCTTCTCGGTGACGTGACTAAATTTGACGTCATTGCTTTCAGTGGCCCTCAAGTGAGATTTTATAAGAAAAGTATGCTGCCAACTGCACGATCTCCGCATCAAAAATATGTGTTCGCTTCAATCGAATCGTCTCATTATTATCCAGTATGCAACGATCAGTTCAATGATTACTTCAACTGGACTTGGTCGTTCAGACTCGATTCCGATGTACGATGGGGTTACATGTTGATTAAAGATAAAAATAATACTAAAATAGGTCCGAACAAAATAATGCACTGGTTGAAACCGGGCGAGATGGACACAGTGACTCAAGAGTTTAAAGAGAAATTAAAAACAAAGAAAAAAGCAGCTGCTTGGTTTGTGTCTAATTGCTACGATAGAGCCGGCCGATTAAAAGTTGCAAAGAGTCTTAAAAAGGAACTAGAAAAATACAACTTATCATTAGATATCTATGGACGCTGTGGAAATTTAAAGTGTCCTTCCTCTGAAGTGGAAGATTGCGAGAAAATGTTGCAAGATGATTATTATTTCTATTTGTCGTTTGAAAATTCATTTAGTGAAGACTATGTAACTGAAAAGCTGCGCAAAGCTTTAAACAATAACGCCGTACCAATTGTCTACGGTGGAGCTAATTACACAAGGTATTTATTTGAAAAGAAAAATCTTACCACATACTTTGTTTTACTTTACTTACTACCACTTACTTTCAAGTTAATACAGTTAAAGAAATACTGGATAGAGTTACAGAAATAAAGGAAATACAGTTGGTTGATAAAATTCAATCCACATAAAATGACGTTAGGTCAGGTTTTTAAAACAATTGTTTCTAAATGAAAGCTAATAAGAGATTTTTTTTTAACATGAATCCTTACAAATATTTAAAAAGCCAGTTAGTACTAGTAGTCGTGTATAATTTTTGATATTCGTTGTTTGCGTTGTACAAATGTATTTGACATATTTTTGTAACCACATTTATGGTGAAATGTTCTATATTCGTATGTTCATTTTAACATTGATTCTGTCTTCGACTGTTATGCTAGACTTATTGGGTACTTCAAGACACATACGCCTTCAAATTACGCCTTCACTTTGCCTAAACTCAATGTTAGAGAAGAAGAGATTCTTTTAATTTCCTACAAACGGACCGGATGGACGTTATCCTGCCAGATATAAATATAAAAAAAAACCCGACCGCAAAACCACCTATCGCGTGGAATTGTAATACCTCCTCTGTTCTTGAAATTGCTTTTCCCAACAGGGTCCTAAATACTTACTTTTTTACTATACCTTTAAAAACTTTTATGAACACTATGATAATATTGAATATCGAGAAAGATTTTGTATCAGGCTCTGAATGTCAACACGACCAATTTATGACTTATTTGATATTTGCATGTTCTTCTTCCATTAATTCGGCATAATAGTTTTATTTTTTTAGCAGTGTTTGTTAATATTGTTACAGTTGACCGGCAGATTCAGCACATACACTAGAGTTGTGATTGTTTTGTTATAGTTATATCAATTGCTATATCATACTAGCGGCTCGTCCCGGCTTCTCACGGGCGTATTAAATACTATGTAAATATAATGAATCAGCATTTATATCTAGAATACAAAGAAAAATTAACAACAAATAAACAAAAGGAAACAGTGGAAGAGCTTTTCACTATATAACGAAAAAACAATTTTACAAAAGCTACACAAATGATGAAATAAAATCCAGTTTCACACGCATCGCTTAGGAAACCTCGGTTTTTATTCTACGGCATTCAATTTTCAATATTTTAAAATTTTCGAATACTGCTTACGTCACGTTCTATTGTGTCTTGTGCTTGTTCTTTTTTTAATATTGTATTGGTTCTGAAATGAGCTAGTCTGAAGCCACTTTTTTATAATTATTTATATAGGTATGGAGCATTACAATGTCACCATCCATATATTGAATATCTATAGAAATACTATATAGCTGTCCCAGCGAACTTCGTACCGCCATAAAAAATAGGGGTTGGTGGCAGAAGGGTGAAAATTTAGGGTTGCATGTATCTTTGTATGATGATGGTCCAAAAAAAATTGTTTAAGTAGGGACCTACCTTAAAGTTTAGGGGGATGAAAAATAGATGTTGTCCGATTCTCAGACCTACTGAATATGCATATAAAATTTCACGAAAATCGGTCGAGCCGTTTCGGCTAATAGTTAAAACTGTCTTTATCAGTTATTAATAAAATGTGAAAAAATAATTATTGCATTGAAAATTAATAATAAATTCACGGTGAGAGTAAAATTAACGTAATAGATGCACAGAAAAATTAAAATAATACGTATAAGTCACTGCTACGATCGATACACAAATGAAACCAAAAAAAATGGCCGAAAACTGTATATTGAGGAAGACAGGAGACCGGCTTCCTTCTTATCCCTACTCCGTGATTTTTGCTGGCTGAGAGGTGACCCAGGTAGACATCTAGCGGGGATAACTGATCGATTGATCGTTGATCGGTTATCGACCGGTGAAGGCGGAAGATCAAATTGAATTGAGAAAAAAAAAATCGCTATGGTAAAATAGGGGTTGATTGTAAGGGGTTGAAAATTCAGGGTTATATGTATTTACTAATGCTGTATCATATTTTTTTTTATGTAGAATTGAAAAAAAAATTTAGGGGTGGATTACCCTTAACATTTAGGGGGATGAAAAATAGATGTTAGATCTGTCCCAGTGAACTTCGTACCGCCATAAAAAAATAGGGGTTGGTGGTAGAAAGGTGGAAATTTAGGGTTGTATGTATTTACTAATGCTGTATCATAAAAAAAAATCTAAAATTGAAAAAAATTAAATTTAGGGGTGGATTAAAATAACATTTAGGGGGATGAAAAATAGATTACATCCGATTCTCAGACCTACTGAATATGCATATAAAATTTCACGAAAATCGGTCGAGCCGTTTCGGAGGAGTTTAACCACAAACACCGCGACACGAGAATTTTATATATTAGATATATTTATATTTGAGTTTTAACTGAGTATATTTTCAATGGAGTAGGAGGAGCTCGATGGCGCAACTGGTTAGCGCGTTCGGCTACGATCGTTGAAGTTAAGCAACTTTCGCAGTGGTAGGTCATTGGATGGGTGACCGAAAATTTACTATCTCGAGCTCCTCCGTGCTTCGGCAGGCACGTTAAGCCGTTGGTCCCGTAAGCACCCACCAATCCGTACTGGGCCCGCGTGGTGGGTCATGGCCCAATCTCCCTATTCCATCCATAGGGAAGGCCTGTGCCCCAGCAGTGGGGACATTAACAGACTGATGATGATGATGATATTTTTAATATATTCCACAATATCAGTATTTACGTTTTATAGTAAATTATGTCAGATTCTGAGGATGTTGCAGATTTTGAATCATGTGTGAGTTCTGACACGTCGTTTTATTCTTTGGACGATGTGCAAGTGGCTGATCATACTTTGGGTAACCAACTTTCCAATGTATTTGATACTTTTACAAGGAACTTCAATGTTTATCACATTAATGCACAGATTATACCTAGTCACCATACCGAATTATTAACAATTTCACCACTAACACTATTCACGAAGTTTTGGTATTTGAAAGTTTCTTTAAGCCTTGCCATAGGTCCAAGACTTATGCTTTACCCGGGTATGCTCTCGTGCGTCACGATAGACTATTGAAGAGGGGCGGTGGTGTTGCGATCTATCTCCGGACTGGCATCCCATATAAAATCCTTTCTAGTTCAGTTCAGCTTGCAAATGGCGCTGAGTAACACACATCAACATAATCTCAATCTTCAGTCTAGCAGCAAACAAACATTAGCTATTCCCCCTGACCATACTGGTTTTGTTTCCAACTCATTTTCTCTTCAAACTATACGACTCTGGAATGCACTGCCTCCTCATATTGAAGATGCTCCGAACAAACTAGCTTTCAGACGCTCCATACGTCATCATCTATTAGATTCCTCCTCCGCATCCTCCTGCTGTGATATATATTTGAATGTATATATCTAAATATTTATTATTATTTATATACACATACATACATATATATCATCATCATCATCATTTCAGCCGAAAGACGTCCACTGTTGGACATAGGCCTCCCCCATAGATTTCCACAACGATCGGTCCCATGCTGCCCGCATCCAGCGGCTTCCCGCGACCTTTACCAGATCGTCGGTCCACCTTGTGGGGGGCCTGCCAACACTGCGTTTCCCGGTACGCGGTCGCCACTCGAGGACCTTTCCGCCCCAGCGGCCATCGGTCCTGCGAGCAATGTGCCCTGCCCATTGCCACTTAAGGTTTGCAATTCTGTGGGCTATGTCGGTGACTTTAGTTCTCTTGCGTATCTCCTCATTTCTGATTCGATCACGCAGAGAAACTCCGAGCATAGCCCTCTCCATTGCCCTTTGGGTGACTTTGAGCCTTCTTACAAGACCCATTGTAAGCGGCCACGTCTCGGTTCCGTATGTCATCACTGGCAACACGCACGAATTGAAGACTTTCGTCTTGAGGCACTGCGGTAGATGTTCCGAGAAGATGCTACGTAGCTTCCCGAACGCTGCCCAGCCGAGTTGGATTCGTCGATTAACCTCTTTCTGGAAGTTGGACTTACCCAGTTGGACTATTTGTCCCAGGTATACGTACTGGTCAACAGCTTCCAGTGTAGAGCTCCCAACAGTCACCGGAGTGGGTACGACATGGGAATTCGAGATGATTTTCGTCTTGTCCATGTTCATTTTGAGACCCACTTGTTGGGACACCCTACTGAGGTCGCCGAGCATTGTGCCAAGGTCATCCATGGTCTCAGCCATGACTACGATATCATCTGCAAATCGAAGGTGCGTCATGTACTCGCCGTTTATGTTGATGCCAAGTCCGCTCCAGTCCAAAAGTTTGAAAACGTCTTCCAGCGCAGCTGTAAACAGTTTCAGTGATATAACGTCACCCTGTCTTACACCACGCTGTAGCTGGATTGGCTTCGTGCTTTGGTCCCGGAGTCGAACTGACATAGTGGCGTTTTCATACAACGACTGCAACACTTCGATGTATCGATAGTCTATTTGGCACCTTTGGAGTGACCGAAGCACGGCCCATGTCTCGATCGAATCGAAGGCTTTCTCGTAGTCCACAAACGCCAAGCATAATGGCAGGTTATACTCTTCGGTCTTCTGTATAACCTGCCGCAGCGTATGGATGTGGTCTACGGTACTAAACCCTTTTCGGAATCCGGCTTGTTCGGGAGGCTGGAAGTCGTCAAACCTGCGCGCGAGACGATTCGTGAGGACTCTCGAAAACAGCTTGTATACATGACTCAGGAGCGTGATGGGTCTGTAATTCTTCAATTGGGCCCGGTCTCCCTTCTTGAAGAAAAGCGCCACCACTCCCCTATGCCATGCGCTAGGCGTTTTGCCCTCGAGTATGACAGAGTTAAATAGCTTCTGAAGAGATTTCAAGACTGGTCGTCCACCTGCTTTCAGAAGCTCGGCTGTAACTCCGTCATCACCCGGCGCCTTTTTGTTTTTGAGCTGTTTCAGAGCTACACTAATCTCGTACAGGCTGACGTCCGGGATATCTTCGGTGTAGTGTCGGGTTAATTTGGCTCTTGGGTCGGTCGCCTTTGTGACAGGTACTCGTGATGTCGCGTATAGCTGTCCGTAGAAGCTTTCGATCTCAGCCATAAGCTCAGGTTGCGACGAAATGATTCTGCCGTCCTCTGTCTTCAGCTTCGTCAGCAAACTCTGTCCAAGAGACAGATTTCTTGCGAACACTTTCGAGCCTTTGTTCCGCTCGATGGCCTCTTTAATACGATCAGTATTAAAGCGGCGTATGTCGCGAGTCAGAGACTTCGAAATCTGCCTATTGAGCTGCCGACGTGCATCTTCAGAGGACTGCAGACCCATCTCACGCCTTTTCTCCATGAGCTTGAGAGTCGGCTCCGAGATCTTGCTACGTTTTTTGGTACGGATGGGCTTGCAGAACTTCGAGCCCACCGTAAGGACAGCTTCAACAAACCTGTCATTATAATTGTCCACGTCTACGCAGCTCTCTAGGCAATCGAAGCGATTTTGCAGTTGGAGTTGAAAGCGCTCGGGGTTTTGGATCTGGATGGCTTCAGGACGGAGCGTGGACTTCATCAGTCGATTCCTTTCGGCTTTGACATTTAGATTCAATGTGCCTCTTACCATTCGGTGATCGCTTCCCGTATTGAACGAATTGATCACTGAGACATCATTGAATATCCGAGTCTTAGTCGACATGATGAAGTCAATCTCATTTTTTGTCACGCCATCCGGACTTTTCCAGGTCCATTTTCGATGCAGCCGTTTTCTGAAAACGGCTGCATACATATATATATATATATATATTTATTATTATACATGTATATTTATAGATAAATATTTTATGTAGTATTTATATATAGATATGATCTTATTTCTATATAATAAATAATTTGACGAATTCTTAACTAACTTCTTAAGATTTTTGCTATAACTGGTTGCTGGTTGACTGGTAGAGAATGCCTAATGGCATTGAGCCCGCCACTTGTACACTCATTTGTGCAATATAGTATAAATAAATAGCATCTTCTCTACTTCGTGATACGTTCATTTACACATTACGCCTAATTACGAAAAATCCACAGATTAGCGATATGATGTCCCAAATATTTGAAATACACTCTTAAAAACTATTGGGGATAAGTACGAACTTGTACTGGATTATCACTATTCAAACTGCAAAAACTGCTCTACACACATTAGAAAAAAGTATACGATTACTTTGAAAAATAGATTATTTTTTGTGTTACAGAAAACTGTTTTGTAACTTATTTTTCTGATAAGATTCTAAATTTTAAAATTAGAATTAGAACGTAAAACAATAAAATATTTCATTCAATTAAATTGTTTTTCCCTCTAAAAAGACATGCAATACAAGCTCACACTCGTTCAGAAATCTGACTTAGTCAATATTATCGAATTTAAAATATTTTTTCACGGAAAGTTGTGATTTAAAAAATGCCACGAAAATAATCAGATGTTTTACTAGACAGAATTGTAACTTTGAGGGAAGAAATCTATTCTACGAGAAAAATAGCACGCAGAGTTGCCATATCCCAATCCTGTGTAGTAACCACGTTGCAGAGGTACCACGGCATGGGTAATTTATTACTGATCGATCACACAGCGGTTGCCCAACTGTTTTGACAGCTGCTCAAAATTAAAAGCAGAAATACGAGTCGCTTCCGGACTTGAACTTAGCACTCAGATCATTCGGAATTGCTTACACAAGGCTGGATTACGAGCACGGAGGTCTTGACGAGCACCTATGAATTCATGGGAACGTCAGCGACGGAGATTACAGTGGGCTAGGCTCCGGCAAAACGAAGCAGACGAAGCGGAAAACATTAGACAAAACTGCCTCTTCGTTGACGAATCGCGAATAGAGACATCTAGATAACCCACGTGTCCGTATTTGGAGAAGACCTGGAGACTCTGAAAGGCAAAGAACGGCGACGGTTCAGCGAGGCGGGAAATCAGTGTCCTTTTGGGGTGTTATTATGACTGGAGCTAGAACGCCTTTAATCCCTTATCAAGGGTTCATCACGACAGACAGATACAAAACAGTCGCTATTGATGGAATCGTCAGACCTTTCCGAGTAAACCATGGGCACCAATTTGTACTGGTTGACGATAATGCACCCGCATATCGAGCTCAACGAGTCAATGCTGCTCTCCGAGAATACGAAATCACAAGGTTGGACTGAACTGCTGGCTCTCCTGACTTAAACCCAGTAGAGCACGCGTGGGACGTTCTTAAGCGAGCTGTATGGAACCGGCAGCCACCACCCCAGACAGTCCCGCAGCACAGGGAAGTTACTGTTCCAGAATGGACAGGTTAACACAAGAAATGCTGCATAACTTGATCCTCAGCATGCCCAGGAGGAACTTCGCATGTGTTCAAGCCACAAGAGGAGTTATTCTGTATTAGATAAACAACAATTTATTAATAAAAGGTTTTTAAGTACGGTAAAACTATTTTTTATATTTATCAAAGTTCTATTATATTCGCCTTAGGATTTAATTATTATTTTTTTATAGTAAAAATAAAATTAGTTTTATATTTTAATTTTTAAATAAAAAAAATATAACGTAAACATTTTCTCTTGCTTAAGTTAAATTTGAAAATTTATTTATTTATCAGCTTTTGTAAGTGATCTCAAACTTTTTTTGATGTGTGTATATCAGATGTAAGTACTACCTAAAAATTGTAAAATCATTACGTTCATTAAAAAAAAAAAAGAAAAAACGACGCAGAAGAGGAATGAACTGAGGATGTCTAGCGGAGTGGTACATAAAATAGTCTTGCTTTTCCACGAAGACAGATTTCCGAATTAACAAGCTCATTTTTAGTTTTTTGCTCTCTTTGTCATTTTTGCTCGAGTTTTTGTTGGGGTAAATAGATGTAGGCATTTTTTTATTTCGATGTAATCGGAGTCTTTAATAGGCTCGCTCCGGTCGCTTTGGAGAACGCCCTTTAAAGTCAAAGGCACGCATAGTATCACACAGTTTTGAGATCAGAAAATAATATGTATTATTGGCGGATAATCCGTCCGATATTTATATTTGGCTCATTTGCATAAAATTCTTGTTCAGTTTGACGCGCGCCAAAAAAATTATAGCAGCTGTACGATAACGCGTGTTATTAGTCCTATAAAACGAAAAGCAAACAAAGGAGATTGCTTAAATTGGCCCAAAAAAGTAAAAAGTAAATAAATAAATAAAAATATTGACTTGAACGGTAATTCTTGGCGTAATTTATACTTTATTTTACAGTCATTAGATTTTATCGGATACCTTTGTATAACATATTCATTTTAAAAAGGACTTTTATTTTTACCGGTTTGGAAAACATACGAATCAATTTTAATGGCTATGGGTGTAGTAACATTCAACCAAAGACTGATCGAAGTTGTTTATATATCATCAAAACAAATCTATTTTGTAAAGATCGATAAAATAAAACATTTTTTTTTTTATTACGAATTATGCCACGTATCGCAATAATATCGCATAATTAATGACTATTTTTCTAGCATAGTACACGAATACTCACTCACTCACTTTCAGTCCTTTTACAATCAATCATTAGAAATTTCCCTCGGATTAGGTAGCAACACAGGTTGTGGTTTAATGTGAAGAAAAAAAGAATTCTATTTTAAAAATGACAACTTTAAAATTTTGTTTGTCTATATTCCAGGTTTATGCCAGACGGGATTTATTTAAATGCGAAAGAAACAACCGTCGAACAGATAGCTAGTAAAATGAACGAGTTGATCAAAAATCCTGAGAAATACGCGGATTATTTTCGATGGAGGAACCACTACTCGTATCACAGTCTCCACGATGATCCAGAGACCGATGAATATTGTAATTTTTGTGCAATACTTAATAACGAGAAAAAAGTAAAGGAGCATTCAAGCATAAAGGACTTTAGAAAATGGTGGAATAATCCTAATTATTGTTAACTGGAATATTGTTCTAATAATTGTAATGAGCTTAACTAATAGGGGTGATGACGGGGTACAGTAAACGAAATTCTATTTAGTCCGTCAGTAAGATGATCAAAAAATAATGGACACGTATTTTTTCTTTGGGCAATCAACCAAAAAATCACAAAGTTATAGCGCGTCAAAGTTCGGGAGTAGGGGCTCGTGAAGTCTCTTTTAAGTGAAAAAATTGTACCAAAACGTGACGTCATGCGACTTTTTAAATCAATATATCTCTACAATGTTTATATTATGTGAAAAATCAAAAAATACGTGTCCAGTACTTTTTGATATTCTACCTGATAAACGAAGGAAAATAAAATTAGTCATCATCCCTATTGTTGTAAGAGATATGGACTCCCATAAACTTGTAGAGACATTTCAATTATATAAACTGTTGTAGCATATTCCTTTAATGTTGTGAAGATTTCTGCGCTTACACTTCTCCATGGCTGAAATATGTCCATAAAAGAACACGGAAAAATGTAGAGCTATTTATTATTTTATATTATTTTGGAAGGTGAACACTTATACATGGCTTCTTCATCATTCAGAGAGGGTCTGAGGCGATGATGCAGTCCGAGAGATCGGGTTTGTGTTTCCATTAAAATGTTCTTATCTATATGATATAATAAATGACGAATATAGGCAGGCACTATAACGCCATAATACTTTTTGTAAATTGCATTGATTTTCATTGAATGTTTTGGAGTAAATGCGCCTTTCGTTTAAATCGAATAAATCTCGAAAAATACATTATGTTTCCAGCTATATTTCGACCAGAAAACTTCCAAAGTAGAAGTCGATTTCTCGATAGCTGTATTCTCATCACTAATCAAGATAACTTCAAAAAAAAAGATTTGTTCAAATTTTATCTTGATTATTGACGATGAAGATACAAGACAGTTATATTTTGTAAAATATTACACAAAATATATTTTTTTCTGTACACAAACGTAAAATAAATAGTTTAAAAACTATTTAAGAAAAAAGATCAAAATTCCCTTTCCCTCCCCCCATTATTTCCGAAATACCACGTCTGAGAATTTGAAAAAAATATAGAATGTAGCTCTCTGCTTTAGATTACAGGAATAGCTATAAGAAGTTTATAGTATATAAAATAAATATTTAAAGTGGGCTCCCATAACAGATGCATTTTGTTTGCCTTTTTTTGGTGAATATTATAATATAGTGACATCGGGATCGAGTGGGTGTCAAAGCAAGGGTAGCTTTGACACACATAAGGGGGATTTATAAGAAGTTATCCCGTCAAAAATTTTTAAAATGAATTGCAATTTGAGAAGTTTGTAATTTCGAAAGCAATACGTTCCGACTATTCGAAGCAATTAGAGCGGTTTATGTTTGAAAAATTCGCACAATATGAGAATAGCACTATTTCATTTTTACTCAAAATAAAATCGAAATCGATATTTTTTTCTAATTTGTGATTAACTCGTGTGTATGATTATTTCCCCCCAGATAAAAATGATCTTAAGGCGCCAAGAAAAAAACATATGAATCAAAAGAATTGTATTATGAAGAAACCAAGTTTAACTTTGTCCAGTTAGCAAACACGACTCAAAAATATGCATTCAGCAGCTTTACTAAAAAGAGTTGTAACTAGGTACTCAACAGAGTCGTATTATGGTTTCAATTTTTAATACCGAAATGGCGACCCGAAACTTAATACAAAGACTGTCCAGTGCAGTGTTACGTCTATCTGACAGCAACCTGTAGCATTGTTTATATGACGTGTAAAAAATTACATAAGTGGAGTCAAATTGCGAAGATAGATGATGGAACCCTACTAATGGTCATCTGTAAGGTGGCGTTTGCTTTCCCAAACGGGCGCTATAACCCGAGCGGGAAATCTGCGGGGAAATCACCTAGGGCATACCCTACCTCCCTTTTACAATGTTGAACCCCATGAGGCTTTAAGGGATTACACTGTGTCCTTCTGTACGGTGATATTTATATATACGCCGATGATCCGATGGTCTCTTGTCGGGGGACTGCAATTCTCACAGTACGTGTCGAATGATCGATGTAGGAGTGTTGTCTGTGGTTTTAATGGGTTGGGCCTAGATCATTTCTCATCAGCTCACTGATTATGGAGACCTCACAGCAGTTGACTCAATTTTACGGTGATGAATATACCTAGATCCGAGTCTCTTTTTCAGTAACAGGTCACTGCGCCTGCGGTATCCGCCGCGTATGAGATCCACACCTACCAACAAAAAATACTCGACAGGTTTGAACTGTTTTAGTAGCTCGCTGTCCCAAATTCGGCGAAGAGTGGGAGAAGTAGTACAGGCAATCTCCAATCAACAGCAGACACAATAAAAAAACTGGCCAAGTGCGTGTCCTGCTACGCGCAGTGTAGGATTCCGTAGTTGCCTGCAGTTACCACAATATATTTGAGCAGGAGACTTTATTTTCTGTATCGGAAATTAGAAAAACCAATTAATATCTATGTATCTAAACTAAAATACCTAAATTAAAATCAAACTGCGTCTCAAACTCAAAATCAATTCGATATTTTTTACTGCCGATTTTTATTGTTTCCTCTCAGGCAGGGAAGCAGGTTTGAAATCCTCATGATCCAAGGACAAATGGATTCCTTGTTAGGACTACGGAACCCTAAAATTTTGTTGATTTTTGACGTTTGATTTTCCCCTAGATTTTTTCCTTTTTGTTCCAATACTCACTCAAGACAAAAATCTTCTCACCACACAAATAAACTGCCGCAGGATCTTCAGGTTGATACAGCCTTCCTGTTTGATTAGTGTTGAACTAATGAAGACCGCATGATGTTTGTCCTAATGAGCAGTGGCGGCGCTAGGCGTAAGCGACGTCGTCCACCGCCGACGGCCTCGCAAAAAAAAATTACAAGTTACCTATTTATTTTCGTTTCTCCGGGCCTGGCTTAGGTAGCTGACCCCGAACAATTCGGGGAAAAGCTAAGCAGATAATAATGACTTTTATTAATTTCGAACACGTGCATGATGGAAGCGAGTAGTACCTTACGGGTATCCAGAATCGTCTGTCTGGCAACACTATGAATCAACAATAAAACTCGTTTACTCATACGTTATTTTATAATTTGGCTCACTTAATTTAACGGTTTAGCGAAGTAAAATAGGCCTCGCGAACTTGATGTCGCCGACATCCACATGTGGTCTAGCGCCGCCACTGCTAATGAGGTAGCGTGGGTTAGCGGAGATAGTTAAGAGTAAATAAAGAAAATAAATTTCTGAACTCATAACTAGCAATAGTACATTGAAAGATGGTTCTGGGAATACACGCTGTAGGTAGGTACGCTTAACTGCGTCCCCGCCTGCGAGGTAAAGTGTGTCGAGGAGTGTGAAAACGGGGACCGTGAGAGGTGCGGGTGGCAGGCACATTCTTGTCAAAAATACAAGTGCCGGTCGCCTGCACCTCTCATGGCCCCTGTTCTCGTCCTCCCCCACACCCTGTACCCCGCAGGCGAGGTCTTAGTTATGCGGTTTACCTGTAGATGATTTCTCCTGATACAATAGACTGATCCGACTAGCCATAATAGAGTTTTTTGAACACCAATACAAAGCCGATCTACCTGTACGGTTTGACATCTGAATAAGTAGACACACATTAAATTTGACCGATCCCTTAATTCAATTTACGGTCTTATTTTTGTTCTTTGCCTTTTAACTGAAAAATCAAAACTCTATTTGCCAGTTGACTCTAGCGTTGTCATTGCTACTGAATGGATGAATGACTGAGGGAAACGACATTGAACGACTTTTTATAACCGTGGGAAAATGTATTTGCCTGTGATAGTTCGGCAGTGTCGATAATATTCCTTGCTCTTAGTGATCTGCCTTATGTATCTGGCACTTTTTCAAATATATGTTGATAGGGTCAGTTCGCCTGTTCGCGTCCATCGCCCAATTCGCGTCCATTTTACGGATCTCCCTTAAAAAATCCTCAAAAATAAGTAAACTAAGACACGAAAGTAGTTACCGCTAATACCTTAATATATAAGAGGCACGAACACATGGTCAAAAGGTAGGTGCGCCAAACAATCCCGTTTAAAAAAATAATTAGTCTCGGTTATTCATCAAGGGAGTGCGTACACGCGGGATGTTTAGATAAAAAATAGTGTGCAGTGGCGCGTTCGATAGTAAGTTTTTTATTTTTTTATGTTAATTTTAGGATACATAGCCGTTTTTAGACTTTTATAGGGAAGAAAGGAATGATATTAATTATAAATTTTCTTATGTTTTTTATATTTAATAAATAAAATAAGGTGGACGCGAATTACTACATCGAAATTACAAAACTTCCAATTTGCGTCCGCAATGGACGCAAACTATACCTACAGGGGATAATAATAAACCAAATTGCGACCATTATTTTCGTTAAATACAATTAATTAATTATAATTCAAAATATAGGTATTGATTATTATTATTATACATTTTTATTAAGACTACGTGTTTTTAATGCTATTTTTAAATGAAATGAGTAATTTCAATCAATAAATCAAATACTTTATTTGTTTCATTCTTATTTTTTTCTATTTGAGATGAGTTCTTCGGATACAAGAAAGTAGAAGGAAAAGAGAATATACACAGAAGACGATTTAAAGAAAGCGAAATTCGAGAAAATAATAAATCGGTAAGACACATAGACATACTGTACAAAATCAGTGGGCGCAGACCAAATAAAGTAAAGAAACCGGGACCAGACACCACTTGATGCTACCCGAAATTTCTAACAAAGCACGAAAAGATAATCAAAGAACTCTAGCAACCATATCTTCTGCTGCATGGAGTTAGTATTAAGAAGATAAAGAGCAGATCAAGAACGAAAAGCAGGAAGCAATACGAAAAAGAAAGTTAGAATGAATAGAGAAACAAGAACAGAGTTTAAAACACTCTCAAACGGTTCGTTAAACTGCTCCAAAACGAAAGAAGAAGATGCATGCTCTTCACGAAGTCACACAGGGAATGGTAAATCAGGAATTTAAGAAAGAAAATTTTCTGAATGTGACGATATACTAATTTCAGATGTAGAAGACGACGATGAGAAAAACATACCTTGTTTTTTAGGGTAAAATTAACAGAACTGATTACTGTTTATTCTTAAGGATGCAATCATTATTTACCTACTACTTATATAATTTTAAATTCAATCAATATTGAGAAAAATGATTTTATTTTTTTAAAGATAATTTTAATGATAATAATGTTGGTTTTAATATTTATATTCTAAAATAAAGAAATTGTTGAAATAGGTACAATCTTTCTATACAAATTCTTAAAAATATCACCCTTATATTCCTTTTCTAAGGTGGTGGACGCTAAATGGTCCACGGGTGGACGTAATTTGGATTTTGTGGACGCAAACTGGGTAAAACGCCTTATTCCGAAGTTTATCTATTTAAATAAAAAACAAAAGATGTTTCGAACAAAACTGAAAGTTAAACTTAAAATAGACTATATAATGAAAACATTACATATTTTTTTCATAGAAATTAGTGCTGGGATATTTTTATTATCGCCGTCAAACTTTCCAACTGCACTAAATGGACGCGAACAGGCGAACTGACCCTACATGGCTTTTTTATAAAGTGGGTGCCCGCTCATTTGTCTCCGTGGAAATATTACTTTCCCATACAAACTTCCAACCCCCTGAAGTAATAGTAACAAAAACTATCGTACCTCCTTTTCCGGGACTATTATCGCTATACCAAATTCGTTGAAATCGTTTCACTGGTTTAAAAATGAAATGCAACAGACAGAAGGACACATTTTCTCATTTATAATAACAATATAATAACTAAGCTCATTTAAAAAAAAACTTATAGCCCGAGTCTCAGAGAGGCCCTCTAGTTGAACCGACCCTCTCAGGTTCGAGTGGTCTAGAGGCTCAAGACGGAGAGGAGACTGCCCCCGTGGGGAGACGCCATCCACCTGGAATACCTCTAGAGGCACTCGCCAATTCTCGGCTTGAGGTCCCCTTAGGGTCTCGCTGTCCTCGAACCCGGTGACGCTGTGACTAGTTATAAAAGCTAATGCACGAAACTCTGGGGATTCTTGGCCAGAATCCTGTCTCGTTCAATATACATCTGTTTAATATAAGTCGTATATATATTCAAAATTATGTAAATGTATCTATGAGAAATACGTTTACTTATCTATTGGAGAAGTCGCTTTATTTCCTTCAAAGAACAAAAATATACAGCATGCTGTATACTATTATTCTTTTCTTTTTAATAAATATATACCACACGGTATGTTATGTAAGGGAAGTGCCTAATGTTTCGTTTTCAAACAACATTAAAGTAGTTAATATAAATAAATACCTATTAGCATAAACATATCCAAAATTTTCAAAAATTGGAAGTCCAACACAATTTTGGGCATAAAGGGTTAGGTTACTGTTCGTGTTCGTTTTCGTTCGTCCGTTTTCTATATGTTCGAATCAAGGGGCATATATTGGTTAATGCCTCATCATAAAAAAAAATATAATTTGTCCACAAAACATTCGGGTGGATATCCTTAAGTGATAAGGTTGATCACTCGGTGGTAGGAAAAACAGTTTACGCCCTATTCTCAGGCCTACTGAATATACCTACACACCAAATTTCATTAGACTCCGTCAAGCCTTTTCGGAGGAGTTTTGTTACAAACATCTATGGCACTGGAAGTTTATATTAGATCTTAATGTAAAATCAGGTTTTTTTAAGTGAAATCTTCTTTAGCGGCGTTGTACACTTTTTTGTAATGGGTAAAAACTGTTAAACTCGCATCAGGACACGTGGCCTGATCGAAAATTCGTAAGACAAAAACAATAAAATTGGAAAGAATTCAATATATTGGACGAAACATAGTAACATTTTATTTTATCGTATTATAATAATAATTCTCTTATTAGGACGTCCAGGTGGCAGCTTTGTTGCTAAGAAAATGCATTTTTTTACAATAGATGGCGCTAGATGCGCTTAAATGTGATTCATGTTAGTTGATTTTTCTGTAAGATAAACTTTTTAATGTGATATGTGTATAAATTGTCATGTTTCTATATGATAGCGCAATAAATCAATATTGTATTTTTCCACATAAATGATAGTACTTTTATACTGATAATTAAAGCAATTCGTGCAAAATTATTCCCTAACCATTACATAATATTCAAGTTTTCACTTCTGCCGGCACTCCCGAAGTGCAACCCGTCGTTTTTTTCTCTCTTAATGTTTATACAGGCTACAAAAATAATCTAATAATAAGTAATTGTTTTCGGTTTTGAGTTCCGTTGCAACATCAAAATTTGTGTCGAAATTATATAATAATAATGTTCATTTTGGCAAAAAGGTGCCCATAATTTTATAAAAATAAATAGGTAATTTTAAAATGTACTGACGATTTGAGAGCTTCCTCTGTTTTAATGTACGTAATAATGATCATTCTCGTTTCGACCTGCGACTAATTTAAGACGTTTTTGAATTGTACACCAATAAAAATACATAAAGAAGGTTTTCATCAAGTGTATTTTCATGAATTTGTGGAATAAAGCCCCGAATACGTTAGAGGATAAAATGTCTCCCAACATGATGCGCAACCCTCAATCTACGTGACGCTGCAACGTCCAGCACTGTCGCGCAACTTGTTCCCCAACATTATGCTTCACATTCACGTGACGCGGAATATGTTGCTTGTACCCGCTCCGAAAGCGACCGTATGTGTCCCGCGTCAGCGACAAGCCGTTTGTTCCAGAGTGTATTCGTGCACGCAACGTGCCTTTCAACATGTCTGAAGTGTGAGAAAAACCGTGCTTTTAATAAATGAACTTTACCAGAGTAAGCCCGATGTTGATATTCAACCAAATTTACAAAAAATCCGTCAGGTATTCGGAGGTCTCTTAAAATATTAATTCTTGATTCTCGTTAAAGTAATAAATCGCGCATACTTCCTTCTCTTTCGCTAACTTTTCTCTCCTGAAATAAGTATGCACGCAGCACTAATTGCCAAAGCTCCTTGTGTGGCATTTCTATAAGCGCTAACTAGTGTGGACTGCAAAATCTTTCGCGTCATTTTTCACGTAGTTGTTGCGCGTCTTGTTCGGCAACATGATACAGTATTTGAACCATAATGTGTTCGAGGCTTAATAACAACAATCAGTCATGTAGTTCTTTAATGACATCAGTTATAGTTATTGTAGAATAAGAGTTGAGACCAATCAACATTGAGCTATGCTGCGCTGTGTTTTGATCAATAAATGGGTCATGTTAAAGTGAAAGCTCCTAAAAAATGCTTTCCTGAAAGGTCGTATCACAGAGTTTTTTAAATATGTAGGTCAGGGGGGGGGCGTTCGGGGTGTCAAGGGACCTCACAGCACACACACGACGGAACGTTGAACTAACTCGAGATCATGTGACGTCATCATAACGTGACATGACGTCACACTTTTCCGTGTGTGAAGCCGGTGTTCATGGATTTATAAGACGTTATCACATCAATAACGTTAAGACCAAAAGGAGTGGAGTGCAAATGAATAATATAGCAAAACTGGGAAAATATTCCCTCCATGATTCATGATGATTTCGTTGCGTGCACTGCGTAAACAGTGAAAGTTACACAAAAATAGCGTATGACAAAAATGTTCCTCTTAAAAAGTTCTATAAAAATATACGCAACATCATATATCTGTATTTTAAGGTTGACCCATTAGGACCTTTTTCCTTAAATTAATGTGGGTGAAACCGAGGGGAACCCTAGGTAGGCACTTCTTATCTACAAGGAGCGAGTTATCTAATTTAAAACATATCACAGCACAGCGCAGAAGATACTTTCAATCTTGGTGGATGACACTTTGGACTAGCAAAAATTAGGATTATTCCACCATTTCCTAAAGTCACCTATGTAAGAAATTTTGTTGACTTTTTCCTCGTCATTGAGAATCGCACAAAATCTACAGTATTCATCGGTCTCTGGATCTTCGTCGAGGCTATGATATGAGTAATGGTTCTTCCATTGAAAGTAATTTGCGTATTGGTCTGGATTTTTTATCAACTCGTCAATTTTAGCAGCCAGCTGCTTAATAGTCATCAATCTTGCATTTAAATAAGAACCATTAGGTAAAAACCTGCAATATATAAAAAAGCAATAATTTTCATTCAAAATAAATTATAAATCAGGAGAAAAGCAGCAACATCACAAGTTTTTAGTGTTTCACAAACAAACGCGGGCTGCAGTGGCGGTTTCGGTGGCTGCCAATTGGGTTCGTTTGTAATGTAAAAGAGTAGTCAGACACGAACGGCCATGGTGCAGTCCGAGCACGGCTGACCCTATCCCCTCAGCCACTGCATTTTTATGTCATGTGAGCTACTGTGAGACCAGTCGCAAAATTGTACATGGATACGCGGGAGAAACGATGCCAAATAATTTTCAAAAAAATTACACCTGCGTTACTACAACATTAGATTTAGATATTATGACAAGTAATATTTATCGTTTTGTCGATATTGATTGATTTTATGCATCTATTACTTACGAATTATAATTTTTTACCTTGTATAGTTAGCTCCTCCATAGACAATTGGTACCGCATTATTGGTAACAGCTGTAAGTAACTTCTCAGTGACATAATCTTCGCTAAAAGAATTCTCAAACGACAAATAGAAATAATAATCATCTTGTAACATTTTAAAACAATCCTTAATATGGGGAGACGGGCATTTCAAGGGACTACAACCTCCGTAAATGTCAACTGTTAAATTATAATTTACTTCTAATTCTTGTTTAAGATATAATGCACATGCTCTTCTGCCCACTTTATCGTAGCAATTAGAAACAAACCAAGCGACTGCTTTCTTCTTCGATTTTAATTTATTTTTAAATTCTTCACTCACTGAGTCCATTTTATTTGGTTTTAGCCAGGTCATTATCTTATTTGGGCCAATTATATTATTGTTTTTATCCCTTATTGACATGTATCCCCATCGTACATCAGAGTCGAGTCTGAACGTCCAAGTCCAGTTGAAGTAATTATCGAATAGGACCGTGCATACAGGATAGTAATGAGAGGACTCAATCGTAGCAAAGACATATTTTTGATGAGACGATCGGGTTAAAGGTAACATCTCTTTTGTGTAGTATCTAACTTCAGTACCACAGAAAGCAATAGCATCAAACTTCTTCATATCACCGAGAAGAGATCGGTTTGATGTCACAAAACAGTTGGTGTGTGGACATTTTCTGCTCGTGAAACCTTCTCGACCTTTTCCCATGTAAACGAAAGGCGAGTTGCTTGCCGATGTCCACTGGAGTATGTACTTCATCACTGATTTTTTATCTAGCTTCTTCTCGGCTTGTTTTGTCCGGTTCTGTACCTTGCTATATAACCATTTTGATACAATCCCATGTACAAATTTGTGGCCGGACAGATTTTGTGAGTATGATTTATAGTCTATTAATATCTTATACACTAAAAATAACACACCAAAAAACAAGATATATAAAAAAAGCTTAGCAGTGAATAACGTCCTCATTTTACTGGAATATAATGCAAAATGCACAATGCATAAATTTTTAATATCCATTGTTAGTTAACAAGTTATTGACACAACTGTTTGGCTTGGAACACAGTAACAATGGCAAGGGTAAGCGGTATGACGTTTCCATTGCTGCCTGTCTTACATAAAAATTTAACAACTCTCTAAACTCCATAAGAAAGAAATTGAGTGACTAACTAACTGGCATATCAACGCACAGCACAAACCGTTGGGTTTAGAGATTCCAAATTTGGTACGTTTGTTCCTTATGAGGTCATACATGATATATACATGTCATACATTATGAGGTCTAGGGAAGGACTAAGAAACAGTTTTTAAATTTTTACCAATTTTACCACTTGGAGACCAATACATAGCAGATCTTTTTAAGTCCGTGAGCAGATCCAATTATGTGGTTTGACATCTGTAGCAGATGACAGTAGACACAACTGAATTCCTCCGATCCCTTCCTCCGATTTCCAGGTTTTTAAAGTGATATTTTTATTACTTCGGCACAAAAATTTTCGTTTATCTTTAGCACGGCCTGATCTAGAAATTTTGCCGCCCCGGGCAAAGATATACATCATTATGAGGTCTAGGGATGGACTAAGAAATAGTTTTTAAAATTTTACCAATTTTACCATTTGGAGACCAATGCATAGCAGATCCAATTATGTGGTTTGACATCTGTATTAGAAAACAGATATTTGCCGCTCTTTGGTGACTTACATTACGGCTGACCCTAAGTTTAAAATTTTGCGGCCCCTTATTTTTGCCGCTCTGGGCTAATGCCTAGCGGCGGCGCCTCCTTGGATCAGGCCCTGATCTTTAGCATATCGCATTATACATATTTTTAGTTGATATTAAAAATCAGATCTTACCAACAAGCATCGTTGATTCAGTGGTAGAAAGCTCGCCCGAGTTTGACTCAAGCCAGAAAAAGGCTTTTTTTTTTGCTTTTATTTTTTTTATTTATTATCTTTTATTTTTAGAGATTTTGAAAGTTTCATTTGCATGGTGGTTTCATAAAACCACACCAATTCTATTTTTTGTTCCTAAAACTGAAAAAACTCGATTCGCCAATTGACTCTATCGATAGCGTTGCCATTGTTGTCACTTAATGGATGAATTGCTGTGGTTCCGACAGCGACCAAAACTACGATACTGAACAGCTTTTATAAACGTAGAAAAGTGTATTTCCTTTGCGACTGTGACAGTGACGATAACCTTTGCTTTTACTGCTCTGTCCTTTTGAATCTGGCACTTTTTCAAGCATCAATACCGTTTTTATGAAGTGGATACCCGCTAATTCGTCTGCGTAGAAATATTAGTTTCCCATACAAACTTTCACCCCCCTTTTAATCCACCTTCAGGTATGATTTCTAGGATCAAAAATAACAAAAACTATCTTATATATATCCTTCCCCGGGACTTAAACCATCTCTCTATACTAAACTTATTCAAATCCGTTCAGCGGTTTAAGCGTGAAAATAAACAGACAGAGCTACACACTTGCCCATTTATAATATTAGTGTAGATAGTACTTATATGTATTTTTATACTTCACGGTATAATGCGAAGCGAATTTTATATGGTAATGAAGATGACACCATCGCTAAGTAATGGTTTTTGGTATTTTTCCTTTAAATCTTTATATAATATAACTAGCTGACCCAGCAAACTTTTGACCGATTTTTAATATTCATAATACTATAATATTATTTCGTAAAAATTACTAATTTGATTTATTAGTTAATAAAGCATGAAACCTTTAAATAAATCATACATGTTGCTTAGACTCTTTTGATGAGTGTAGTTTACGTCCCATTCTTATATAAAAAAGCTATAAGACTCGGTCAAACCTTTTACGGAGGATTTTTTTTACAAACTCTTATGACCCAAAAATATTATATATTAGATTATATTGTACATTTTTTCTTTCTTTCTTAAAGTTTGTACAAGCTACAAAAAATATATCTAATAATAGGAAAATGTTTTTAGCCCTGATTTGAGTTACAACATCAAACCTTGTGAAGAAACAATAAAACAATAATGTTCAGTTTGCCAAAAAGGTGTCTATAATTTTATAAAAAAAATACCTTACAATACTCGGACGAATTGAGAACCTCCTCCGTTTTGAAGTCGGTTAATAAAATAATGTTCGTAATAATGATCATTCATATTTCGATTATTGATTCATTTAACACTTTTTAAATTGTACTATTGGTGTACACTTCAAGAAGGTTTTCATCAAGTGCAGTTACATGAAATTGTGGAATAAAGCCTCGAATACATTAGGGGATACAATGTCCCCCAACATAACGTGCAACGCTCAATCTACGTGCCGCTGCAACGTCCCGCAATGTCCCGCAACTTGCCTTAAAAACCATTTTGCTACAATTTCACGCGCCGCGGAACAAGTTGCTTGTTCCCGTTCCGAAAGCAAGCGCAGGCATCGCGCCGTTTGTACCAGAGTGTTTTTCGTGTGCGCAACATGCCTTTCAACATTTCTGTAGTACGGGGAACGCGACTGTGATTTTACTTAATAAGTTTCATAATGTGTTCGAGGCTTAATGATAACAATCAGTCGTGTATTAGTCTTTAATTACATCCGTTATACATAGTTATTGTAGAGTTAGAGTGACCAATCAACATTGAGCTATGCTGCGCTGTGCTTTAATCAATTGATCATGTTAAAGTGCAACTTAGGATTTAATGCTTACCTGAAAGATTCTAAAAGAGAGAGCTCCGAAACTAATTGTCGGCAACGAAGTTCAAACGAAATTTAATTTTGTAAATTTGAGGTTAAACTTCATTTGAATGATAAACTTTTTTTTTTGAGTAGGCTTAAAGAATCTAATCTTCAATCTTTTTTCAAGTGAACGATATAATTATATTTCAAAACGAATAAGAATCAGAGTTATAAACGTGCGAGGTTCAATTGAAATTGATTTGCAAGTTGCTTCTTCATGCCTTTTTTAATCAACCAAATATTATTTTCAGTTACTTATTTACACTAGTTCAAAAGCGCATTCTGTTAATGTAAGGAGCTGGCACAATCTAACATGGACCCATTATTTCAGCAACCGCACCGCAGAGATATAAAAAAGCCATACAAAGTGCAGATTGATTTATTTTTCTCAACTATACTGATATTATAATGCTAAAGTTTGTTTTTTCGGTTGAACGTGCTAATCTCAGGAACAACTTGTCCGAAGAAAATTTAACTTGAAAATCATCCACACGGTACAGACTTGCATCTCTTGAATTCTGTAGTCTCATTTCATTCCGCTGTTCCATGAGAAGGAGAGTTTACTTGTACTTGTAACTGGACCCTACCAGTATACAGATACACCACTGAGTTGTTCCGATCATCCACATCTAAGCTAGTTTCAAGGGATTCGAAGCGGTTTTGAAGTTCCAGTTGAAAGCTTTCGGGGTTTTGGAGTTGTGCAGGCATTGGTTGGAGCTTAGACTTGATTATTCGTGATCTTTTGAGCTTAGTGTTGATATTCAATGTGCCTCGTACCGTACCGTAACCGGTAATAACTTCCCGTTTTGACGGTGTTGATCACAGAGACATCATTCAACATTACCTTTTTCCTTGACACAATAAAGTCGATCTCGTTTCTGACTTTGCCGTCCAGACTCATCCAGCTAAATTTTCGACTTTGTGGTTACTTGAAGAAGGAGTTCATAATGTAAAGGTGCTCCGTCTCAAAAAATGAACCAAAATCTGTCCTCTGGCGTTCCGTTGCCCAGCTCCAAATTGCCCCTCTCTCAACTCATCACCGCAACGCTTCTTCAACCTTACGTTGAAATCTCCCATCACAACAGTGTAGTGTGTTTTGTAGCTATGCATCGCTTTTGTAATCTCCTTATACATAGCTTCCACTTCGTCATCTGGGTGCGTAGGGTCGGACCATAAACCTGCATGATATTCAACGAATAACGTTTTGATATTCTGAGTATCAGGTATGCTTTCCTGGTCAACATACTTCCGATGGTGACCACATTGTGAACAAGGGATTTGTGGATGATAAACCCGACACCGCCTAGAGACTGTTGGTCGCCCTGCCGATAGTATAGCAAGTTACCGGAATTGAGGATCATCGAGTTCGCTCCCTCTCTTCGGACTTCAGATAAACCAATAATATACCAGCGTAACTTACTAATAGCTTCTTCCAACTCTATTAGCTTAGCGTCGGTTCTCAGTGTGGGCGTGTTGTAGGTAGCAAGGTCCAGTCGTCGTAAGGGGATGCCGGATCTTACCCGGGGATTCTCAGGTATACTTCTAGAACGTACTTATAATCTACGAGGAGTGAGTTAGCTAAATTGAACATAATTATCTACAGCACAGCGCAGTAGGTACTTTCAACCTGATTTCGAATCGTCACTTTAATCCTGAGTGATGACACTTTGGACTAGCAAAAATTGGGATTATTCCACCATTTCCTAAAGTCAGCTATGTAAGAAATTTTGTTGACTTTTTCCTCGTTATTGAGAATTGTACAAAATCTACAGTATTCGTCAGTATCTGGATCTTCGTCGAGACTATGATATGAGTAATGGTTTTTCCATCGAAAGTAATTTGCATATTGGTCTGGATTTCTTATCAACTCGTCAATTTTAGCAGCCAGCTGCTTAACAGTCATCAATCTTGCGTTTAAATAAGAACCATCGGGTAAAAACCTGCAATACATAAAAAAAAACAATTAATATTTTTTTTCAAAATAAATTATAAACAGGAACAAAGTAGCAACATTAGGAGTTTATACAGTCTCGCAAGCAAGCGTGGCCAACGGAGGGTGGTCGTTTATAAAGTAATGCCAGCAATTCACTTGGCTGTACGTGTTTGCTGTTTGTTAACTTGACATTAGTCTGTCCTTTTCATTCCTTATAAAGCATGATAAGGACAGGTAAAGCCGGCATAAGAGAGTATTCAAACACGGGCTATGGCGCGGCCTGTGCATGACTGGCCCGACCCCCTCCGCTACTGCATATTTATGACATGTGAGCTATCGTGTGGCCAGTAGCAAAATTGTACAAGGCGCGCAAATCACGTACAAAACATTACATCGCCGTAACTAAAACATTAGATTTAGATATTATGACAAGTAATATTAATATTTTTGTCGATTATGATTGATTTTATGTATCTATTAATTATCTTTTATTGTTTTTACCTTGTATAGTTAGCTCCTCCATAGACAATCGGTACCACATTATTGGTTACAGCTTTAAGTAACTTCTCAGTGACATAATCTTCGCTAAAAGAATTCTCAAACGATAAATAGAAATAATAATCATCTTGTAACATTTTCAAACAATCCATAATTTGGGGAGACGGGCATTTCAAGGAATCACAAGCTCCGTAAATGTCAACTGTTAAATTATATTTTTTTTCTAATTCTTGTTTAAGATATGTTGCAATTATTCTCCTGCCCACTTTATCGTAGCAATTCGAAACAAACCAAGCGACTGCTTTCTTCTTCGATTTTAATTTATTTTTAAATTCTTCACTAACTGGGTCCATTTTATTTGGTTTTAGCCAGGTCATTATCTTGTTTGGGCCAATTATATTATTGTTTTTATCCCTTATTGACATGTATCCCCATCGTACATCAGAGTCGAGTCTGAACGTCCAAGTCCAGTTGAAGTAATTATCGAACAGGTTGCTGCATATAGGATAGTAATGAGAGGACTCAATCGTAGCAAAGATATATTTTTGATGAGGCGATCGGGTTAACGGGAGCATCTCTTTTTCGTAGTATTTAACTTCAGTACCACAAAAAGCAATCGCATCAAACTTCTTTATATCACCGAGAAGAGATCTATTTGATGTCACAAAACAGTTGGTGTGTGGACATTTTCTGTCTATGAAACCTTTTTGACCTTTGTTCATGTAAACGAAGGGCACGTTGCTTGCCGATGTCCACTGGAGTATATACTTCATTTCTGGTTTTTTATTGAGCTTCTTCTCGGATTCTTTTGACCAGTTGTGCACTTTGTTAATAAACCATTTGGTTGCTATCCCGTGTACAATCTTATGGCCGGGCAGATTTTGCGAGCTTGATTTATAGTCTATTACTATCATGTACACTAAAAATACCACACCAAAAAACAAGATATAGAAAAAAAGTTTAGCTGTGAATAACGTCCTCATTTTAATGGATTCTTCTACAAAGTGTATCAATTTCTTGATTACCATCATAATTGTAAGTTATATAAAGCTATTGACACAACTGTTTGGCTTGGAACTCAACAACAAAGGCAACGGTATGACGTTTCCATCACTGCCTGTCTTAAATTATAATTAAGCAACTCCATAAAATACTGTTGTTTTATAACAATATAATATACACATAAACTATACAAAACTATACAACTTCCTAAGATACGATATTCTTGTCTTTTCTATGTAAAAAGTGTGGCAGACAAACGTAATGATAAAATAAAATACACTCCCGGACTCTTGAATCGAGCCACCTTACATTCCCAGGCCTAAAAGCCCAATACACAAAAAATATACAATATAACAGAAAAGGTTTTATGCATTTTTAATGCTGGCATATTTCATCGTCTTTCCCGTATGTATTATTCCAAATTTGAATTTTAGAATTTAAAATAAAAAACAAAAGCCGAGCTTGGTCACTGATTTGAAAAAGATATTGACTGTTGAAAGTTGCTTTTGAAGCAATTTAATGTCGATTTGGTTTGAATTTTCGCAATTGTTGTAAACCAAAGTTTAGTTTAGTTATTTTTCTATAATTTGAACCGTTTTTGGCTACATAATTATGAATACTTCACCTGAAGTAGCCGCGCAAGCTGTAGCACTTCTTCAATCTGGGCTAAGTCAGCGAGATGTGAGTTCACAACTTCACATAAGTCGTTCCGCTGTTCAAAGAGTGTACCACCGATATCTGGAGACTGGTGGCTTAGTTTGGCGAACAGGACGATCTCGTTACCGAGTGACAACGGCGAGAGAAGATCAATACATTGTCACTACTAGCTTACGAAATCGACGCCTTAACTCTGTTCAGATATGCTATACGGTAATGACGGAAGGAGTAAGGTGTAGCGAAGACAGAACGAGCGTTTCGTGCAATGCTGTATTGACGAGAAAGTGAGTTATGGTGGAGGATCATGGACAGTATGGGGAGGAATCTCTAAGGAAGGCAAAAGTGAGCTAAAGGTAGTGACGGGACCACGACTGCCGCCCCTAGATGGCAATAGGTACATTCGCCAATGTTTAGAGAACCACGTGATGCCATATGCTGGATTTATTGGCCAAGATTTCGTTTTAATGCATGATATTGCAAGGGCCCATACTGCGGGAATCGTCAGGGAGTACTTAAATGACATTGATATCACTGTTATGAGATGGCCAGTGCGAAGTCCTGATATTAATCCTATAGAGCATCTATGGGTCATCCCATACCCATCTCACGCCTCTTCAGCTCATGCTGAAGAGGCATGTTCGAGCTCATCATCCTGCCCCACAAACCATGCGGGAGCTCAAAAATATAATTTTGGATGAATGGGAGGACATTCCTCAACATGTTATAACGACATTGATTGATTCTATGCCAAACCGTATGAGAGCTGTCATAAATGCACTGGGAGGCAATAAAAGTTACTAAATAAACATTGCTTTTCATGTAAAACTTGTCTTTATTTAAAAATCGATTAGATTTTTTTCCTTGAAAAAAGCAAATATGGACTTGTTTCAACGTAACTCGACTTTTTTAATAAACTGTAGTTCTAATTTAGAACAGTGGCACTATAAATGAATGATGAGTATACCAGCTCCAAAACTGCATCAAAACATTTTCCTTCTACATACATCTTTTATAAGTTACAGTACTCCAAACCAAAAAAATCAAGGTGGCTCGATTTAGGTGTCCGGGAATGTATATACTTGAAACGTTTATTCAGTGTGTCAACGTGCACATAATCTTAATAACCGAGTGATCCTATTAGGGTTCCATTTTTGCCGATTGATTTTTGGAACCCTATTAAGTAAAAAAAACATCCTACTTAGAATATTATATTACCAGCTGACTCGGCGAACTTTGTACCGTTTGAAATAGAATAAAGTCATATTTTTTTCTTAATTTATTTGTTTGTTGTTGAAACTTCTAAACTTTCTTGTTTTAAAGCTATTGTATAGCTTTTATCGCGGGCTTTGAGCGCGGCGACCGAATCAAGAAATTCCGTAACGTAAAAAACCTTTAGATTAGCTTATCGGCGCTGGTCCTTACCGGTAACCGGTGCAAGCATTTCTATGGACCAGCGCCGATAAACGCCGACAAGTACCGACACGTGCTGGTCAGCGCTGACACTGCCATTTTAAATTAATAAACAACAACAAAATGTACATACATGTATAATACATGCATAATATAGTAGAGAAACACTGATAATTTTAGAGGATTTTAATGTAAGGTCGTAAATAAACACATTTTTTACGCTTACATTGCAATCGCTGGCTGAACCCTACGAGATAGATCAAAATAATGTATTACAGTACTGTACACCTTAAAAAGGTCTACATCTTAGGGATAACCCAAAATAACCATTTTTTTCCCTATACATATTACGAGAATAATAGCTTAATTACGAAGTGATTTTCAACAATATAACATTCATCTTTATCCAATTCATCATCATCATCATCAGCCTATTAATGTCCCCACTGCTGGGGCACAGGCCTTCCCTATGGATGGAATAGGGAGATTGGGCCATGACCCACCACGCGGGCCCAGTGCGGATTGGTGGGTGCTAACGACTGCAGATGCAGCCGGGACCAACGGCTTAACGTGCCGTCCGAAGCACGGAGGAGCTCGAAATAGTAAATTTTTTTTTTGGTCACCCATCCAATGACCGACCACTGCGAAACTTGCTTAACTTCAACGATCGCAGCCGAACGCGCTATCCACTTACGCCATCGACCTCCTCTCCTCTTTATCCAATTAAGTACCTTGAATACATTTTGCATTTAATATAGATTAATTTGGGCCTTTAAAGCATGTAATTAAAATGAATATTTTCGAAGATATTACAGATTTAAAATGCAGGGACATAGCAGTTCCGACACTACCGGGCGGGGGGCCTAGCGGCGCGTACCTATAGTATTTAGGTATTAGAAGAATGTCGTTGTGTGTAGTAAGCCTGAGAATAAAAACTATAGTCTACACTACCCTTCGTGCACGAGTTCGACTAGCACTTGATTCCGATTTTTTATTATGATTTATGTTGTCCGAATATTAAATAATTTGTATTTGAATTATTATCCTTAGATCCTTTTATTACCTAAGCGCTAAAATTATTTGTTTCGTACTTACCGAATGGTGACATTCTTCTGGAAGGATTGGTTGTTTATGCCAATTACACCAATTTTTCATTAAACGGTTTTTCACTAAATCCAAAATGTTATAAAATGTTTCTTGAGTAATTTTTGTATATGTATAAAATCTTTGATCATCAAATTTATTTATTTTTACAAATAAATGATGGTATTCTCCGAAACGTCCCATTTCTCTACTTTGGATGTATAGCTTCTTTCGCATTTTTAAATCCACATTTTCTAACAAAACCAAAACACCGTCCGATGAGTCCGACGTTTTGCTTGCTCTACTTTAATCTGCATCCTTTATGTAACTGTAACCAGTAAGGACCAGCGCCGACAAGCGCTGATCGGCTTTCAGCTTCAAAATGTGCCATAAAACTGCCTAATATATACTAATATTATAAAGAGGAAGGATTTGATTGTTTGTTTGTATTGAATGGGCTACGAAACTGCTGGACCGACATCCACTGTTCATATAATACCATGATGTGATGTCATGTATGGTGAAGGTGGTGAACACTAACAACTGTTCAACAAGCATGTTCTGTCGCATGAAAAAACTGCATACAACGCAACGCAAGCACCTTTACTAACACTTCGCCGTAGTTTTGGGAAAGGTGAACTAACACACTATTATAAGGTCTGTAATTTATTGCATGTTTTTTTTACAAGTTAAGATGACGTTTTGCTTATTCATACGTTTATTTCGGTCCAGCTTTTCCTTACTATTTTTTCACCCCACGCCACTGAAAGATGGGGCATATGTTTTGAAAGGGGAACAATCCCGCCATTCATGATTTTTGTGTAACTTTAATCAATTAGGCTGCGCACGCAACGGAAGCTCACAAATGGAATGTTTTTTCCCGTTTTTAGTGTAAAGTAAATAATAAATTCTTTTAAACCTATTTGTTACCCAATATCCAGTTCTAAGTCCCTGAGGTCATCGTGCCATAACCGTTCCCAGCTGTATTATAAAGATGTTTCTTCTTGATGATCTTCATAGATGTGATATCTGAAGATGATAGTAATTGCCTGTCTGGTATTCTGAGAACATACACCTACTAGGTAGAGGGAACATACAACACATTCACATCACTATAATTAATGTGACATGTTTAAAATATGTAGACAATGGTGTCGATTCTGGCATAATTCTCTAAAGCTTAACTTAAATTTGACAACAGTGCATCCTTGTCATTCTCTATACAGAATGAAAAGGAGAGACTGATGTTAAATTTAGTTTTGAAGTTTAGAGAATGACGCTAGAATCGACACCAATAAATAATTTACTCGAAAATAAGAACTACAAATAATATATAGCTCGCTACAGTAATGTTGCAGTGCTCTTCATATTGGGTTGATATTTTCATGTTGGCATTATTACGGTATATTTAATAAATCCCATACGAAGTATGGCTTCAGTTACGGAAATAAACGTAACTCGGGAATATAATAGCTCAAAAAGCATATGGATATTGCTGTTTGAGCTATTATGTTTCAGATATAACCTACCCAAACAGAACCTTTGAAATAAGAAGGTTAGGAGTGCTCATCCACACCCTTTTTCACATTTGCCCTACTCTAGCAACTTCCTCCTGCTTCGGAAAGCACGTTACCTCCCATCCCGGCCCGCATGATGGGTCACGGCTCAATTTCCCTATTCCATCTTTAAAGAAGGCATGTACCCCAGCAGCGGGGACATAAATAGGCTGATGATATTTATTTTTATTTATTGAATTATTTACTTTTTATTGTTTTTCTACAAATGGCGGACTTAATGCTACATGACATTCTTTACCAGTCAACCATCGGGCTAAGCAGAGACATTTGCGGATAATTGAAAAAAGTACGAGTTACATAATATAATAATTATAATGTAACCTCTATAAATATACCTACATAAATCTAATACTCGTATATAAAAT